TATGGGAACCACACGCAGTACCTACATCAGTATAATTACTGAGAATTTTCGAAGTACCAATATTGGGTACCCTGCTAAGGCTTTCTCAGCACATGGGTACCCTGAATTCAGTACTTTCTCTAGGGTTAGTTCTCAACATTGAAAACTTAAACACTGAATTCGATGCCTTAATTAACTGTAGAGGGTGTGTGGGTGTGGGAGTGGGTGTCTTGATCTTCTCATCATCAACAGCCACACCCTAAACCTAAATATGTTTCGTATTTTGCTTTGAATCTAATGTTTTCTCGTAGTAGGTAGTATATGTGACTGTTTTAAAAATATCAGTCTCAAAGCTCTAAACTAGAAACTCATTTGTGATTCTCGTTCTGAAAACATGGAACCAAGTAGTCATTTGCAGCAAAAGAAGAAGCAATTGATAGCTAAACATCCCTGAAAATGCGCAAAAGCGCATTGTAAAGCGAGTTTATATATTCTTCAAGAAACCTGATATTCTTTGACAAAATTATCAATAAATAGTGTGAACAAATTGTACATTACTCTACTCTTTTGTTTGTTAGACATACTGCCCAACTTGTTTTTTTACCTACCTATGTCGTGTGTATCTGAAATAGATTTGTTGAAATGTAAAAAGGTAAAAGAAATTGCTTTTTTTTTCAAGTGTAGCTTTTTTGCTGCGCGGAAGAAGTCGATGTTTTTTTTTCATACTGCAAATATTGACACAATAAAGAACGATGAATTCGGAAGTAAAAGGAGTTTTTTCCAACTTTATTGCATCAGGTCTGATAGTAATCATTCTCACATAAACATTTGATCAATAAGGCAAACAATCTGCAACGTTTTATCAAATACATATGGTCAAATGCCGTACAAAACATGGCTTACCCTCTATTGTTATGTGCTTATAGGCTGTTCACGTTGAGAAGTCTCTCGGCAACAGTCATTGACGATGTTGATACTATGCCAATTTTAGTCTGTGTAACTATACCGAACTAGACTATTATTGAATATTTTCTTTAGATTTTCTAATATTTTTTGCTTCAAAAAGGAAAAGATAATAATCAATCGATGTTTAAATAGTTTTATACTCTGAAGATATTTTTATTTTTTTAATCATTTTTAAAGTAGAGGAAAACACAATGCTTTTTAATCAGATTCTTCAAAATTTCGATGCGATTTTTTGTAATAAAATCAATGTATAACCATAAAATTAAAATCCGGTAGATATTTATCAACTTATTTAGCCGCATAGAAATCATTATGTTCTTTTATAACTATTGAATATGTCGTTCATCTTATTCCTTTCACTCAATGATGAGTTGCAAGTGCTCAACAATAAACTTCTCACAGAATCATTAACACGAAGGACCGAGTTGCATGTTCTATTTATTTTAAAAAAGAACTTTAAACGTCATATCTCATATGAATGTTCAAGATTTCGGACTTCAGCTTCCCATCTGAGATCTTACGAAAGAAATTCATTGTATTGATTAGTGCGAACTTTGTATTACAAACTCTCCGCAATCACTTGAAAGGGTTTTTCCTTCATGAACTCTTGATTAAATATTTTTATTGATCAAAAAGAAAACAGTGCATACAAACTAGATTAATAATGGCAAAGTTAATCAAATCAGTCTCCATTGAAATTTCTTTTAAAACTATGATGACATGTCCAAATTCTAAAAAAAAAAAACTTTCGATGTTTTATCAAAGTTTCAAAGTGCATTTTCAAAAATATACACTTATGTTTAATCATTGATATCCATTGCCTCGACCTCGTCTCTTACTAATAAGCGTCTGTAACAGAAAAACAAAGTTCTCATGTTCTTGAACATAGTGGCATAAATGAATCAAAGAGCGATAAAAATGTCCTCTTACCGTATAAATGGACGAACAAGTTTATGCAGTCGTCCAGAATGTAAAAGGTTTTTGTCGCTGATCGTGCGCCATTTAAGAGACTGCAAATGAAGAGAAAGAAATGATTGACGAGGAAAATTCACCGATAGTTATCTGTTCTTACGACAGAACCTCACCAACTGATACCCTTCTTTTGAGCTCATATTTTCCTTCTCGGTAAGGCTTCTAGTATACATGAAAAACGCAGGTAACACAGACATTTTTTCAAATTCAGAGGCGTATATCTCGGCAACCAATGAAGCTAGAGAGTTGAAACTTTTCGCAAATATGTTTTCGACAGAGTTCTACTTCCCATAAGAAATCTCAAGCTTCTATCTTTATGCAATCGAGTTTTACACAAAAAATATTGGTCGGTAACGCACTGACAAAAAAGCCCCCCTTTTTCTGAGTGTATGTCAAAGAAGGGAAAACATAACGAGATACTGAGTTAATAAATTAGATGAGAGATGGTTTTGTAGCTAACAGTTCGGTCTATCTTTTGATCAAAAGAAAACGTCGATGGATTGAAAATGAGCAAGCTATAGACAAAACATCAAGCAACGCACAGACATTCGTCTTCGAAAGACAAAGTTTCGGTCGGTTATATTGGTCTGGAACATCAAAATAATGATGTTGATTTGTATTTCGAACTGTCATTAGTGTTGTCAGGTTAGAAATGTTTTCAGATCTGCTTAAGCCAAAAGAGTGCTCGAAATGTCAAAGCAGAAAAAAGAGGTCTTTAAGGCCATTTTTCTATGAAAATTGTAGATTTTGTCTGGTAACTATGGTTTCTTATCTTGATGCTGAACAGAAAATGATGTAGATCGACGCAGAATGTATGAAAATTTACGTATAGGACATCTTTGATGGAGATCATAGAACCATTTTTGAAGAAGTTACACGAATACTTTTCTCCTTAACAAAGGCAAGAACGGTAAATCTTTCAATTTTAACGAGTTTTTTTTCAATGCGAAAGCATTTTACGACTGTCAAAAGTAATTTTCAAAATCTATTTGATGTGTTCTGTTATATGGACAGATCAGAAAAAGGTTTTTGGTGTCACTAAGATTTCGATTTTGAAGCATGGTTTGTTAACAGAAATACCACCCTCAATTACATGTAGACTACTAAGTATCGCGTTGATAACTATTGAACTAAAGAAGATCTTCACTCGTGCTATTTCTCATATGTTAATTCACACTGTCTCTAGTTTCACATACAACAAGTCCCACTTACTCAAGCGCTACCATCAAAGGGTGTAAACTAAGTCACTATTGCTTTGCTTTCTTTTCTTAATTCGCTGGTTATTCTGCATCAAATTATATTAGCTTAATAGTGCATTTTACACTCTTATTACTTTGAACTCTTCTTTTGCTTTTGGTGAGATCGCGTATCCAGCTGTTGATTGAACTTGGACCACAAACAATGTAATTATACCATTATATTCCTTCAATTTGAAATTTTCAATTAATGTTGTTGATGGCTTGCTATGAGGCAAGACATTCGAAGGAATCACAAGTTTCTCTCTGATCTAAATGCACGAGCTGACGGATAAAAAATTCAAACAATAGAGGATTCTTACATTACGAACAGCACATCGCCAACCAGATTCTCCCTTCTTCACATCGTCTTTGGGGAAAGTCAGCATTCGACTACCTTTTTCATGAACGATCAAAATCTAAGAAAGATAATAAGTACAAAGTGACGTTTGTGACATTGAGAATAATGCATAATTAGGCATACTATCTACCTGACTATTAGTGTAATTGTTATTATCGACATTAAAAAATATTATTCCAAACTCTTTACGCGGTCCTCCTGTCAAATGAGATAAAGAGTTTCAGTAATAAGAAGGATGAAATATAACATCTATGATCATGGGCGGCGGAGCGGTCTTGGTCTAGGGTAGGCTCAACTTTTAAGCCAAGCCAGTACCGAGAGTCAATTGAAAGACTTTTTTTTCGTTTATAATGGTAAGCGCTACAGATTCTCTTGCTAGGTTTAAATTCCGTAGAATTTGATAACTAAAGGATGGTTTGAAAGTTTCGACCCCTCTCTATAAATCGATAATATCTACAACAAACTTATACAAAGTTATTGATCAAATTGTGTTATTTTGTAGAGGAAGATGAGAGTTATCATTGGAAAAAAATATTTCGAAATACATAAATCTATTATAATGTTATGATCATTTTAGCAGCTTTGAGCTGGGATCCCACTCCGCCTCTTTTTCCTCCTTTTCTTCTGTTCTTTTAAAATTCCTCTTTTTAGCCTCTTTTTTTCGAAAAAATCCACTTTTTCCTCTTTTCTCACGAAGAAGCAGGTCATTGACAAAAATATTCATGAGTGTATTGATTATTGTTACCGTATCATACAAAAATATCACATAACAAACTGATGTGCTGATCAGTCAAGTTGCATAGCTAAGGAAGCTAAAGTATATGATTTTAGTGATCAACTTCAGCGATATTATATATCCATAATCGGAACCCATTTTTTGTAGTTCTCTATCGGAAGCAAAAGCACTCAATTATGTTTCCAATATGAAATCGTCATTCTCTCACGATCTTAACATGTTTTTCTGGTTAAGATCGACATGCATAATTATAATCTCGAGCTCACTTTTCTTGGCCATTTTTTTCGGCTCCAGAGAAGCTTGTGATATGAATCTAACAATAGATAGGTAACTCGTAGCATAGCGCATGCTTCAAAGCAAAGAGTTCCTAGGATGACTAGATTCAGTCTAGAATTCTGTCAGATTTTAATGGGATTTGTTCAGCAAGATAGCTTCTGATAGTATAATAACATAAGATGAGGATTTCTGCTTATCAGAAAATGAAGTAATCCCTCTTCCTCTTCTTCCGAGTTTCTTCGTATACAATCACATTTTGGAGTTTCGTATATCTCCAAACCGTACACAGAGAAATATAATCGTATACGAAGAAATACAAAGTAAAACGAAAAGTGTAGACGAGCTTTGTTTGTCTATAAACGTTCATATTTTTGCACATGCGATCATGGATTTATACGATCACATTACTGGGCGATTTGAAACGCCGTATTTCTCCAATTACGAGCTTGTTTGCTTGACATGGGTTAATATTGACAACGGTTTGATGATACTTGGAAGAAATCGGATATGATGGAATGCAACAGCAACAAACAGGGGTATCCGATAACCAAAAAGTAAGAGATTATCCAATCTACTCAATACAAGTAAGTCGCTTTATACAGAACCCAAGAAGATGATCATATGTCACTGCGAAAAATTAGGCGTTTTCGATAGCACGCGGTCAAATGATTCCCACAAGCCCGCTGTCTGGACACAGTTGCAACCAATGTATTAATTTATGTTGAGAAATGGAAAAGTGAAACTGACTTGCGAAAAATGGTCAAAATCACGGAAGAATTGCCGAAAATTGAAAAAGCGCAAGAAAAATTTTCTCACATGCGTAGCCATTAGGGGTGGCACTTTATCTTTACTTTATCAAGTAAAGTAAAGTTGGGTTACTTTACTTTACTGGGTAAAGTAAAGTAATCCTACTTTACTTTACCGG